CTCGCTGATCCACAGCGGCCAGTCGGCCTGCCCCGTCAGCGCGGCCATCTTGGAGCGCGCGGCGGCGACCGCCTGGGGGACCCAGGGCCCCCGGGGTGGGCCGCGGCGGAGGGAGCACGGACACCCCAAACCTCCGACGGCATGGTTTTCAATCCGGGCGTTTCTCTTGGATCTCGGTGCCCGGGGCCACTCAGGCCCCAGAACCATCAAGCATGAATCCGGGACGGCATGACCGACCCACGAACCTGGAAAGGGGCTTAGAACTGCGAGGCATGGAAACGTTTCCAAGTACCTCAATTCAGCGATGGGCAGTCGCAGCGCTGAAGACATCCATCGTGATGCTAATGTGCCAAGGGCTGTGTTGTGCTGCTCTCTGCGCTGTGCCGCGCCGAACAAGAACGTGCCAAGGGACGCACCACGGAACGTGCCAGTGGACGTGCCAGGGGACGTGCCGGAGGGACACGATCCCTCGTGCATCACACGGCGTCCGCTTTTCCCAGTTCCAAGGTCCCTCGTACATTACGCTGCGTCCGCGTCCCAGGGCTGCGTCGGGTGCCAGACGCATGTTGGATCTCCCCTCCGCGCCCGTGTTTGGACGTACGAAGAAGCCGACGACCTCCTGTTGGGTGTGCCTCCGAGCGCACTCCCCCCAAGCGGGCACGCGCGGGACGCGCCTTCGACCAGAGATGTGCCTCCCCGGCCCTCTCTCTGAAGGGCCTCCTGCGGTCTGCCTCCTGGGGCCTCGCGGCGCCTCCTGGGGCCCTCCTGGGGACCCCGTGGTGTCCTGTGCTCCCCCTTGGGAGCTTCCCGAGATCACCCAGGGCCTGCCTGCGCCTTCTGGGGCCCCCTCGTGCCTCCCGGAAACAAAAAGAAAGCAACAAAAAAACACACAAAAAACACAAAACAACACACACACACACACACACACACACACACACACACACACACACACACACACACACACACACACACACACACACACACACACACACACACACACACACACACACACACACACACACACACACACACACCACACACACACACACACACACACACACACACACACACACACACACACACACACACACACACACACACACACACACACACACACACACACAGACACACAGACACAACACACACACACACAGCACACACACACACACACCACACACAACCCACACGCACTCCCCACCAACAAAAAACACCCCCACATCCCGACACCCCCACACCCACCCCCACACGCACCCCGCCACACTCACCCCACACGCACCCCCACCAAACGAACCCCCCCCACACGCATACCCCCACAACTACGCACCCCGCACACGCACTCCCCACACGCACCCCACACGCACCCCCCCCACACGCACCCCACACGCACCCCCACACGCACCCCACCAAAATCAAAACACGCACCCCACACGCACCCCCACAACCACGCCCACGCACGCCCACGCACGTCCACGCACGCCCACCGCCCGACCCCGACCGCCCCGCCCGGCCCCCGCCCACGCCCCGCCCGCCCCCCGCCCGCCCCCCGCCCGCCCCACCCGCCCCACGCACGCGCGCGCGCACGCGCGCGCACGCCCGCGCACGCACGCGCACGCACGCACGCGCACGCGCACGCACGCGCACGCACGCACACGCACACGCGCCCTTGCACGCGCCCTTGCACTTGCACGCGCACGCGCGCGCACGCGCACCCGCACGCGCACGCGCACGCGCACGCGCACGCGCACGCGCACGCACGCCACGCGCACGCACACGCACACGCACACGCACACGCACACGCACACGCACACGCACACGCACACGCACACGCACACGCACACGCACACGCACACGCACACGCACACGCACACGCACACGCACACGCACACGCACACGCACACGCACACGCACACGCACACGCACACGCACACGCACACGCACACGCACACGCACACGCACACGCACACGCACACGCACACGCACACGCACACGCACGCACACGCACACGCACACGCACACGCACACGCACACGCACACGCACACGCACACGCACGCGCATGCACACTCACACACACGCACACGCACACGCACACGCACACGCACACGCACACGCACACGCACACGCACACGCACACGCACACGCACACGCACACACACACACACACACACACACCTCAGATGTGAAAGAAGAATAAGATAGGACAGATGCGACGGTACTCCATCCATCTTCCCGCTGCTCCGGATAGAACAACTCTCCGAAGGTATTTTACCTGTGAATCGGCTCCGAGCTCAAGCAAACCCACCTAGGTGTGCGCCCATCCCAAAAACTCTGATACATGTGAATACGTAAATGTATGTAAATGTATGTAAGCGGCCTTGGGCTGGACTTGAGCGCCGGCCTAAACTTGCCTGCTCTGAGCCGACTGGTCGACGGATGGCGCACGTGCCCTCTTGCTCAGACATAGGGGCAGCACCGCGGGAACTTGTAACTACGCATGCTGGGATGCATCCTGGAGTACGGGGGTGGTGATCTTGCTATACCTAGATGCGCATGGGGACTCTGAACATTATCAAGGACAAAAGCATGCAAGTGCTCTGAAGCGCAATGCATCACGCACGCACGCACACATACGCACAGCCCCCACTAAAACGAAAACATGGGCGGGACAATCCAGACGAGACATACATCCGTCAAGAGGCGGGGCGCATGCCGCCTCGGGACGTCATTCTTTGCTCGCCCAGGAGAGGCCCACCCAGCCTCAGCCCGCGCGCTATTAGGCAGCCGCGCATCGACCCCCAACCGCGGCAAGCGCATGAGCCACGAGTTCGACGACGGCTCTGGAACGCGGATGAAACATGGCTAGCGCGAGGCAACCGTGGAGCACCCAGCGCGGCATTTCTTCGACGCCTGGCGCCCCCCCCCCCCCCAGCGGATGCGGAGGCGGATCCGCCCCGGCAGAATCTCCGAATGTAGAATCTTCATCCCCGAAGCTTCGGGGAATCCCCGGGCCGAGCCTCTCGAGTAGGAACGCTAGAAAATGCACGCCGATAGATTGCCACAAATAGCGAGCGAGGGCGAAAGCAAACTCTGGAATTAAAGCCTGCAGGTAGTGACCTCCCCCCATGGCAACGGTGCTGAGGAGCGCTTCGAGGCTTTGCCTGAAATGTGTGAGAAGTAAGCATGCTTGAACGCCACCCCGCAAGCTGGCGCAGGTGAAGATGATCGCGAAAAGAATGGACAGAGAAGAAATGGATTGGAACACATGCTTGGCAATGAGAAACATAAGACTGCACGCTCGCACTGGGCCGCTAAAGAAGAATCGGAACCATTGGCTCCAATCCAGGAGCGCGCACTGCAAGGCAGGACTGGCGGCTCAGGGCGGCGGCGGCTGCTGGAGGCCTGGGGTGACCCAATTGCCGTCGGCGTCGAGGTGCGCGAAGATGAGGGAGCCCGCCTGTGCGACGTCATGCCCTGGGCGACCTGCTGATCGGCTCCGAGGTTCGTGAGTTTCGCGCGCCATTGTGGCGGGGATTTCGTCCGCTGCACCTCGCGCCGCCACGCTGAAAACGGCGTGCCCCCCGCCGGAATGTGAGCTGAGAGGTGCTGCATGTCCCCCCGCTGGCTGCCGACGCCGATCAGGGCCAAGATTGCGAGGTGGCCCTGAGCCTTCAGAAGGCGCGGGCACGCAGCGCGCGGTCTGGGGTCCGCAGGCGCCGCGGCTGCTGCCGGTGGGCGCGCCGCTGCTCCGTCAGGCGGTTGCCCCATCTGCCCCATGTGATGCAGCATGTTTCCAATCATGTTCTTCATTTCCCCGATGTCGGAGCGCGTGGCCTGGGTGGAATCGCGGATCTCCTGCAACTCCTCCCCGTGCTTGTCGACTTTTCCCGATAATATTTCCATCTCCTGCTTGAGTTTCTTGAACGGGGGATGCTGCTCGACGTCAGCCACGCTGCCGTTCGCGCCGCCCACGAGCTCGCGGAGGCGCCCGATGCACTGGGCGAGCCGGGTGTCTGGCGAGCCCTGGCTGGCGACGATGGCTTGATTTGCCGACTGCAAAACTGTAGCCAGCGCTTCGCCCATCTCCTTGGCCGGCGCTGCCAAGGGGGCGTTCGGCGAAGGTGTCGAACCCGGGCCGATCCCTCCATGAAAGGCTGGCTGGTTCGGCTGCTTCTGCTGCGCTGCCGCGATTTGCGCGCTGAGCTGCGTGAATTTAGCCAGCGCGCCCATGTTGTTCATCATCTGATCGAACTGCCCCATCATCTGCGTGAAGCCCCCCATCCCGCCGGACGAGGGAGGAGACCGCGAGCGCCACTCACTTTGACCGTGCCAGTTCTGAGACTTGTCACCCTTGCCCTTGTTGCGGCACCCCATGCCCACAAACGAGCTTGCACGGTTACGAACAATATCTGCGCACATCTGAAATTGCGCCGAAATGGCTGCAGAGGGAGGGATGAGGTGTTGGGAGGTATATTTGACCAGGGTGAGGCCTTGTTCTATGAGCTCGGCGCGTTTGCCAGGAGGAATGTACTCTGTAGTGTGGGTGCCCCAAACGATAGTATAGTAATACATCCACACATACTGCGACGAAACATGAACAATCCGATAGACCCAGGCGCTGCCATTGATGAAGGCGCCCCCGAAGTTCATTCCGATGCTGTCGTAAAGAGCTGGGAGACACGTGGTCTCAATATGGTGGGATGGTGTGCTTCGTCATTATATCAGGGTCCCCTGTAAGCCTGTACGCTTCATTTTGATGAACGAACTCAAACTTGATGTCGTTGAAACCCAAATTGATGATGCCGTCAAGGTAAAGGAATATAACAGTATCGCCATGGATATCGAAATCGCTGTCAACTTCAAACTGGACCACATCTTTGCGCACTCCGAAAAGCTGCCGTCGAAGACATGAACGACAGATCTGGCGAGATGCCAGCAGAACGTCGTCAACGCAACGCCCTGTGGCCAGTTGTCGTGCGCGCTGAACGTGTGCGCAATCTGACAAATATTCCAAGCGGGACAAAACGAGATGGAGCGCTGCCCCACTCAGTGGCCCTCCAATCGGAATTCCTTTGAT